CCCCAAAACCCCAAAACCCCAAAACCCCAAAACCCCATTTAAATCTAAAACAATTGAATGTGGTGGTATTTAGAAATGAAAATTATTGGAATTACTGCTTTGATCGCAGTGGGAATAGGGTGCTTGTACTTGTTAGCGGATGCCGATTCGGTGTCCGCAGAGAATCAGTTTGATGTATTTATTCAGACTTATAAAGTGGGGTATTCTGACGAATATGAGTATGATTACAGACTCAAAGTGTTCAGAGCTAACTTAGATAAGATTGATGAAATGAACAGGAGAAATCCTCAGGCTACATTCGGAATTACTAAATTCGCTGATAGAACTCAAGAAGAAATGGACTTACAAAGAATTCTTCATGAAAATGATAAGAAGCAATGTGGACATAGAACTTATTCTGGAACTCCTCAAGACTCTAACTGGGTTGGCAAGATACCACAAGTCATAAATCAAGGCCAATGTGGGTCAAGTTGGGCTCTTGGAGTTGTTGCTTCAGCTGAAGGAAGATACTCCATCTTCACAAACTCTACAGGTCCTGCAGAACAATTTTCTGTTCAACAACTTATCGATTGAGATGATCAGTCCTATGGATGTAGTGGAGGATTCCCTATCTCTGGATTTGAAGTGTTTTTAAATAATGATATTTGCAGAGCTTCTGAATATAATTACACAGGAACTAGCGGAGATTGCAAGACTTGCCAAACAGGTATCAGACTGTCTGAATGCTACTCCCTGAATAATAGCACTGAAGAAATTTTGGTTGACTTAACCTACGGTCCTATTTCTATTGCTGCAGATGCTCTCACCTGGCAATTCTATCAATCAGGAATCGTCACAGACTGCAATTTCAAATCTCTCAACCATGGTGTAGCTCTTGTTGGATACAACTCATCTGAGTCATCAGTTAACATCAGAAATTCTTGGGGAGCCAACTGGGGAGAAGCCGGCCATATCAGAGTAGGCGCTAATGGAACTTGTGGATGGCACCTCTCAGCATCTGCAGGATCCTTCTACTAAGCATTTCTAAACTTACTCTTGATCAAATATCTACCAAAATGTCTTATAAAACCTATATCCGTTTTCATTTTTCTTGCCCTCAACCAAAATTCTCCAGCTCGAACTTCAATTTTTCAAGAACAAAAAGGGGTTTTGGGGTTTTGGGGTTTTGGGG